AGAAGAAAGAAGGAAGAAGAAAGAAGGAAGAAGGAAGAAGAAAGAAGGAAGAAGAAAGAAAGAAGAAAGAAGAAGAAGAAAGAAGAAGCAAGAAGAAGAAGAAGAAGAAGAAGAAGCATGAAGAAGAAGAAAGAAGAAGAAGAAACAGAAAGAAGAGGAAGAGGAAGAAAGAAGAAGTAGAAAGAAGCAGGAAGAAGGAAGATGAAGAAATTTTATTCTGCTAAAGTGAATCGATCATAGGAATGGGAGACACCTGAATCCTTCCTACGAACGGGAAGTCCAGTCCACTATTATATTTTATATGAAAAAGTCTTGCAGTTGCAACAAATGTATCCATTTGTATCCAAATAAAAACATCTGTATCCAAATAAAAACATTGTAATCCAAATAATGTATTTGTATTGCGTCACATTGTATGGTGTGTGCTCCCGTCTCTGCAAGGGACAGAAGTTATGGGGTTAATGCAGGCCATAGATGGGTCGAAAATCAGCCAATTCTTTTAACGTTGGTGGTAACGTCGGCTGATCGAACGACCAAGTTTTCCTTTTTTTAAAAAAAAAAACAAAAAATTGCCCAATGTTCCACCCGTCTATGGTCTGCTTAAAGGAGTGATCCTTTTTAGACAGAGATACCAGTCCAGTAATGTTTTGGCAAACAGTGGTGAAATTATCTGTGCTATTTACAGGTGCTGTAGTATTCTTGGCAGGAAATAAATTAATCTTCCAAAAACAAATGGGTTGTTTAAACGAATATGCTTGAAAACCAGCATCTAATCAATGGCTGCCAGCAGTGGTCAGTGTATTCTGGTGGGGAGGCACCCCCACCGTTTAAACACAAATTGCAGCACGAACAAAGGTTAGGTAATACAGTGACCTCTCATGTTATTTTTTTGTTCAGCCCGCTGAGTTGAAAAAAAAAAACAAAACTGTACATGTGTACCTAGTACTAGCTATTGTTACTTGCAAAAGTAGGGATCAACACCAGCATCCTATTACTAGGTTAGAAAGAACAGACTTTTGTTGGGCTGCCTGGGTCTGAGTTAAATGTTCTTTTTTCAATAGGCATTACTACTGCAAGTCTATCCTACACCTTTGTGAAGAAGTGTCTTCTCTCCTTCTCAGGTATCTTTGTCTACATCCAATAGTCCACTAGGGTGTTTCCTGTAGAGCAACTCAAATGGAGAGTACCCTGTAGAGGGCTGCAGAATTTCTCTGACTGCAAAATCAAGCATGGAACTGAATAGTCCTAAATTTCCCATCCTTCTCAAAATTGCAGGGTTTTATGAAATTGTTCCACCAAGCCATCAGATTGAGTGTGGTATACATAAGTTCAGATGTGAGGCCTTAATTTGCACAACTCTCTTGTTACCCATGACATAAATATGCTGTCTTGGTCTAAGGATTTCCTTAGGAACCCCAGTGAGGCTAAACACCAGGAACAATTCTTTAGCCATGTTCTTGGTAGATATATTGCTTAAAGGATGTGCCTCAGAGTAATAAGTAGCATAATCCAAAATAACTAGAATACACTGATGTATGTACGCAGACTTGGGCAGTGGACCCATAAGGTCCAAGGCAATTCTCTCAAGGGGGACTTTAATAATTGGCAACAAGGCAAGAGTGCAGACATTTGACAAACTGGGCAGGACTTACAATAATTCTCAAATTTTTTTTTGTACCACAAACCAGTAAACTTTTTTCAATGGTCTTATCAACACTTGAATGACCACCCAACAAGTGTCTGTGGGTGAGGTCCAGCATCACCTTTCTGTATGGCTTAGGGACCACCAACTTCCCATTTCATTTGTCTTTTTATACACTTAATACAACAAGTTCTCATTACTAATGAAGAAAGGAAAACACAGCTGGACCCCTTGTTCACTTGTTCAGCAGGTACATCACTGACCATCACAAAGTTTTCCCTGGCAGGGATAGGCTGTTTTCTCTGCTCAGTATTTAAGTTTTCCCTGAGTGTTATGCTCAGCACACTCCAGAGTAATCACAGTGGCAGGAGAGGATTGACCATAGGGACTCCCAGCAACCTCCAGTTCTCTTGCCAAAACAATAAAAAAAAGGGAAAAACTGGGGTCCTCAAATGGAAACCTTCAAACCAAATTTTCTGTACAGGCCAAGAAGTTTGGCTCAGCTTTTGATTCAGATATTGTGACCAAGTCTGGATGGTCCCAAAGTTTCCAAAATTCAGGGAAATCCCTCCCAAATATCACATCATGCAACAAGCAGGGTACACCTCCAACCAGACGAGTCACAATACCCAGGACTGTTCTAAACTTAACAGCTATGGAATACTCAACGTGAATATCCACAGGGGCAATAACATTGGGAGGTATTTACTAAAACTGGTGTGTACAGAATCTAGTGCAACTGTGCATAGTAACCAGTTTCTAGGTTTATTGTCAATGCTTAATTGAACAAGCTGAAGGTAAAAGCTGATTGGTTACTATGCACAGCTGCGCCAGTTTTAATATATCTTCACCATTGGCTTTAATCAAAGTAAGCTTACAGCAAAGCAGCAATATGTTGGTCATTCACCATCATTTGACATGTGCTTTCTCATTACCAGAATTGCAGTGCATGAAACAATGGCAAACAAACAAAGACTGCTGTCATTCCATAAAGGAAAAGTCACACTGCATTAGCTCATCAGTCAATGGACACTTTACTAACACATGTCTAGGTTAATGCCAACAAAAACATTTCACATTTTCCCAGTTAGGTCTACTGATAGGCACTGGTTTGGGTGGCCAATTCCCAGACTTGACAATACAAATTCTACCCACTGTGCCATGCTTACCACCCACTTCCCCTGGAACTGACTTACCAGTTGCAGAAGTAGACCGTGACTTTGGATGGAAAGTCCACAGGGTTTTAGCAGAAACAGCTAGGTCCTTAGCTGAAAAGTACCTCTCAACAAGCGTCAAGTGATAACCAACTTGGGGTAACCTTGGCTTACCCATTTTTGCAGGGAGATAGGCAAGGACCTTAGGTAGCAATTCAAGACTACCCGCTCCATTGTCTGTTGCCCAACAGGTACAAGGACTTGTTCTAGCCACTTTTGGATCATATGGATGAGGTTGAACATCTTAGATCGTGGAGATTCCTCATCTTGGAAGAACCAGCTGATGACCCTCTGTGTTTGTTCCAGCAAAGTAACAATCAGCCATGGCATTATGTTCTGCTTGACCTTGTCATAATCCACAGACTCCAAATCATAGTAAACTGTCTGTAGCAATGCCAGTATTTTCAGCTTGACCTTGTCATAATTCACAAATGCTGTTGACTCCAAGTCATAGTAGCTGTTTATGATTCACCTGCCCACTGTGTTTTAGGCCAGCTTTCTGTCAGTGTTTCTTTCAAATGTCATCAAAAAGGCCTTTGGGCCATCATCAGCTGTCATCTTGGACAGGAAGCAGCCAACATGGATGGTTGAAGGGATGCAGCTTTTCCAGGAGAACACTGTGCCAGTATCTACACCACCTCTGCCAAAATCCTGCTGTTCATTTCTGCAGCACTTGCTACCTTTTCAAATAGCACCTATGTTCAGTTTATTATACACCACTGATCTGTTATTGATTCTGTTTGATCAGCACCTGTGTTTGTTCATTTCTCATGCCTCTGCACTGGGTAATTGCCTGTAGCTGAGAAGCATTTGCTTGCTGTATTGGACAATAGATGCTATTTTCTATCCCTTCAGATACTGGCCCTTTGTACAAGCAGTTCCTTGCTATAACTGGCTACAGTCCACCACCATGTGTGAGCAGGGGATAAGTAGAGGGTGTAATGCTACCTGGGGTGAGCAGCCTTTTTAGGTAGAGAGTCCAGTAATGTCTTGGCAAACCGTGACAAATTTATTTGTTGCATTCACAGGTGCGGTACAGGGCTTCAGAGGAAATAAATGAAACTTTCAGAAACAAAACCAACCTTTAGATCCAGCAGCCATAACTCCTCAGGCTGCAGAGCACTGACTGATTGTCTCAGGTGAGACCTAATTGCTAGACAGGGAGAGGTGCAAACTCAGGGTGGATCAGAGGTCTGGAAAGGTGTAAGAAACAAGCCTGGGAGATATGTAAACCAAGGAGAGGACTTTTCCAGGCTCCCTGGGAGAAACTCTGCTTCAAGGGGCATAAGGATCCCCTATTCTCAAGAGGACAAGCATAGACAAATTAGAAAAGTAAAAAACCACAAATACACAGCCACATTGCTAAGTTCAAAAACGCAGTCCACCTTAGGCAAACATATTTAGCATCCCAGCCATAGGGAACATATCTGTTCAGTCAGTGAACCCCAAATTCAGGACTGAGATCTGTATCCATAATTTCAGATGGTGTGCTTTATGGAAACAGATTGGTTTTGTCTATATCCCCTAGGAAAATTTCCTTCACTTTCTGTCCTGTGACCACAAAAACATTGTTGTGGGCTGATCTTCATGTTCCCTTCTCTGCAGCATATACTCCACATATTTCTCTAGAGAATCCCTTGGGGGGGTTGCAACATCAGTGGCTGCCTTATGGATTTAACGTGGTATTATATAGAAAAAGAACTCTTTTTTTTTTTCATTTTGGATAGAGCAAGGGAGGGTTATAGATTTTTTTTTTCACCATCTTTGTCCCATTGGGGAGATTTCCCTTCAATTCCTGTCCCATAGCCAAACAGGAAGTGATAGAAAATCCCTGCAAATAAAGGGAATTCCTTGGGGACCCCCAGGCCACCAGAACTAGTGTCCCCATTAGAAGATCTGCCCTCTATTACTTTTCTGGGGACATCTCAAAACTTGGAATATTCTTTTACTTTCAATGATAATGGTAAACTGGACAAATATTGAGGGTGAATCTCCCTAATTGGGTACAGATAGCAAAAAAAAAAAAACTGACAGGGATTCTAATCCCTTTCCACTCTACCTAACACTAAAAAAAGTTTTGACTTTAGTTATACTTTAACTTATTGGACACAAATGACCTTCAAATACCAAGACACCTTTCACACTGGTAGTCAGTCTAGAGCAGGGGCGGACTGACCATTTGGAAACTCGGGCAGTGCCCGAGGGCCCGGGGTCAGTAGGGGGCCCCATGAGATGCCCCTGGTACCTTTTTCATAGGCTTTTTTTGAGTTTGGGCAAGGGCACAGGGGGCCCATGATCCCCTATTGCCCAGGGGCCCATGAGTTGTCAGTACGCCCCTGGACTAGAGTCAGTTTTTCAGGCGGATCCAGACTGAACCACAAGTTATGTCTATGGATGGGTGGATGTAAACATCCATGTCCATTTACATCCCCCTACAACCATGTCCATTCAGGTCAGTTTTTTTTAAACAGAACAGCCAATGTCCAGATCCGTTGAAACAGAACAGATGTAAACAGATGCCATTCGTTTACATCTGTTCCATTTATGTCCATTTTTAGGCAAGACACATTTTTTTTGTTTATAATTATGTCACCTCTAATTGGTCTCTGCAACAACTAAGGCCCCTTTCACGTGGCAATTCCAATCGGGTCTGTCTGTCCATTTTTCAGGTGGACCTGATCAAAACCTCTATTCTCCTCTATGAAGTGGTGGGCGTAAATGAACATTTACACCCGCTGACATCAAACCCAATCTGATCTGCCAAAAAGAGATGGATGAGGATCCGTTCCATCCTTCAGATCAGATTTTATGGCAGTCGGTTGGAAATGAACAAGCGGTCCATAGCGGACAACAGGCTATGTCCATGTCTGCTCTGCATAAGCGGAGCAAACATGGGCCTGTCAGCTGAGCAAATGAATCCGCTGACGGGTCTGCCCAGTGTGAAAGGGACCTTTGGCTCTATGTACGCTGGTTTATTGTAGTCCTCATGCACACTGGATGTTTTTACAGCGGCTGTTTTTTTTGCTTTTGATGTTTTTTTCTACAGCTAGTAAACCCCCCAGTAAAGTGTTCTTGCCGCAACCTTTACCAAATGATTGATGAAATGTAAGCAGTGCACATTGCAAGCCTGATAGTGAGAAATGCATTTCAGCTTGTATTTTGAAGCTCACAGTCCAGCCTCGTGAGTCATCTGCCTCTTGAGTGACCTTTGGTTGCTGCACCTGGAGAGGGCGGAGTAGGCTCACTGTGCTGAGACAGCTGGGTTGCTATGACAACTCACTCTGAGAGGAATGTCAGCATGCCTGTTCTAAACAGGCTTTTTAAACTTGCCAAGTTCAATTGCGTGCTAAAATTAGTATTAATTAAATATTAAAGAAAAGAAACATAGTGTCTTATCCGGGATATCAATTATTTATTTTTATTTTTATTTTTTTTTTTTTTATTTTAATTTTAATTTTTTTTTTATTTTATTTTAATTTTTATTTTTTTTTATTTTATTTTTATTTTTTTTATTTTAATTTTAATTTTATTTTTATTTTTTTATTTTTTAATTTTAATTTTTTAATTTTATTTTTAATTTTTTTTATTTTTATTTTATTTTAATTTTATTTTTTTTATTTTTATTTTATTTTATTTTATTTTATTTTATTTTATTTTATTTTAATTTTATTTTTTTATTTTAATTTTTTTTTTTTTTTTTTTTTATTTTTTTTTTTTTATTTTATTTTTATTTTTTTTTTTTTATTTTTATTTTATTTTTTTAATTTTTATTTTATTTTTAATTTTATTTTTATTTTAATTTTAATTTTAATTTTATTTTAATTTTAATTTTATTTTTATTTTTTATTTTTTTTATTTTATTTTATTTTTTTTTTTTTTATTTTATTTTAATTTTAATTTTATTTTTAATTTTTTTTATTTTTATTTTTTTTTATTTTATTTTATTTTATTTTTATTTTTTTTATTTTATTTTTTTATTTTATTTTTTTTTTTTTTTTTAATTTTTTTTTTTTTTATTTTTATTTTTTTTTATTTTTTTTTATTTTTATTTTAATTTTATTTTTTTTTTTTTTTTTTTAATTTTATTTTTATTTTTTTTTTTTTTTATCCAGACTGAATAATAATACCATCTCATTTATACAGAAGGAACTGTCATTCCCACTGCAAATATTTTTTATTTATTTTAATTTTAATTTAATTTTTATTTTATTTTTTTTATTTTTTTTTTTTTTTATTTTAATTTTTAATTTTATTTTATTTTTTTTTTATTTTATTTTTTTTTATTTTTTTATTTTATTTTAATTTTTATTTTATTTTTATCCAGACTGAATAATAACACCATCTCATTTATACAGAAGGAACTGTCATTCCCACTGCAAATATTTTTTATTTTTTATTTATATTTTTCATTCATAGTTTTTGTTTTTTTTTTTTCATTGATAAATTAATTTATTTTATATATTTTACACAAATCATATATTTAAGTATAATTAATTGATGTAATTATTTGATTATCGGTGGTACACTTATGAATTCATTATATCACATAAGGTAGAATATATTGGAGCGCGGTACACTACTGGCATTCGTGAACATTTTTAGTGACAGCAGGGTTAGCTGAACGTTTTGATATAAGATATGTGTAGGTGGGCTTGAAAATGACATAGTTATGGCAGTTTACAAATCATGTTCTGATTTTTCCTTTCACACTGCAGCTTTCTCACTCTAATGTGACTCAGCTGCCCCCTGAGTGACCTTTGCTTGCACCTGTTACCTCAGTCAGTCACAGGTGTGTGAGAAGGTCTGCTCTAAACAGGCTGTTTAAACTTGCCAAGTTCACTGGCGATTGCCATTTTCAAACGCTTGTAGTTTTAAAAGTATAAATGCTACCGTGAAAAGGTTTATATTGTGACAATCACAAGAAAAAGACCTAAATTTTGATGTATAGTATGTCTCTGAAATATAAAAAATGAAGGCACAGTCGCAGTTTAAAAAAACGTCCCTTAAAATGTCTGGTGTCTAAAGTGGAGTTTCAATGAAAGTCAATGGGAGGGGTGAGGTGCAAACAAATGGTCATATTCTGAAAACTATCAGGAGTATGGCTTAGCCGTGAACATTTTTAGTGACAGCAGGGTTAGCTGAACGTTTTGATATAAGATATGTGTAGGTGGGCTTGAAAATGAAAGAGTGATGGCAGTTTACAAATCATGTTCTGATTTTTCTGATTTTTCCTTTGCACACTCTAGCTGTGCTCTGCTGCTCAATGCATTCCTATGGGAAAATTTCGCCGCAAAAACCGCGATATTTCTTGAACGATTCGGCGAAACGTTCCACAAAGTAATAGCAATCCGATCGGGAACAATCCGCACGTTTTGATATATTACTTGTCTTTGTAGTGTAAAAACTGTGGGAGGAGTTAGCGTGGCAAATATGGCGTCCCCTTTAGGATGGATGGGTCTGCAGCCTGGTTACAGGGATTCTCTCCTCTGGGTGCTGGATAAGTAACGATCATCTGCAGGCTCTGTAATTTTATTGCAGCTGCCACAAAGTTTTCATATCTTAACTTGCTTCCTCCGCCTAAGAAAAGAAAGAAAACCCAGGACTAGGGATTCTAGAGGAGTTATTTAGCTGTAAAAACATGGTAAAACACCACAAAACGGGCGTTTTTGGACTTTTTTTTACCCAAAAAATTGTTTTTTGTTTGGTAAAAAATAATCGCTAAAAAACGCAAATGTGGAAAAATACCGCTAAACGGTAATGCAAAAACACTAAAAAAAGCTGAAAAACACACATTTACTTTACACAGCTAACATTACCAGCATTATTAAAACACCCCGTGTGCATCGCACTTAAATTATGTTTCTCCTGAAAGGAGAAAAGCAACATTACCCACTTGACCGCGGGAGGATTTACCCCCCTTAATGACCAGGCCTCTTTTTGCTACTCGGCGCTGCACTAATTCAACTGATAATTGCGCGGTCATGCAATGCTGCACCCAAATGAAATTTGCGTCCTTTTTTTCACACAAATAGAGCTTTCTTTCAGTGGTATTTGATGACCTGTGCGCTTTTTATTTTTCCCGCTTTAAACAAAAAAAGGCCAAAAATTTTGAAGAAAAATGATATTTTTTACTTTCAGCTATAAAAAATATATAGTAAACTCAAAGTTGGTTATAAATTTAGGCAAAAATGTATTCTGCTACATGTTTTTGGTAAAAAAAATCCCAATAAGTGTATATTGATTGCTTTGTGTGGAAGTTATAGCGTCTACAAGCTATGGTATAAATACTGCAATTTATGCCTTTTTTTGCTATACAGCGCTGCGCTAGTTTAATGGACAATTGCGCGGTCATGCAATACGGTACATAAATGAATTTACATCCTTTTTTTCCCACAAATTGAGCTTTCTTTCAGTGGTATTTGATCGCCTGTGCGGTTTTTATTTTTTGCGCTATAAAAAAAAAAAGGCTGATAAATTTTGAGGAAAAAAAACAATATTTTGTACTTTTTGCTATAAAACATGTCCAGTAATAAAAATTTAAAAATCAAATTTAGTCATAAATTTCTGCCAAAATGCATTCTGCGACATGTCTTTTCTAAAAAAAAAACCAATACGTGTAAATTAATTGGTTTACGTGAAAGTTATAGCGTTTACAAATGGCGGGAAAGATACTGGGATTTTTAGTTTTTTTTTTATACTAATAATGGCGGCGATCAGCGACTTATGGTGGGACTGCGGCGGACATTCTGACATTGGGGGGTACTGACTTGGAGTCACTGACATCCCCAGTGACACCAATACAGTGATCAGTGCAAAAAAAAAAAAAACACTGACACTGTACTAATGGCACTGGGGAGGAAGGGGTTAAGTTTATTATTCAGGGAAAGGGTTAACTGTGTGAGGGGGAGTGTTTTTACTACGGGGGTGTGTGTACTGCAGGGAACACCGCTGATCAGGAGAGAGAAACTCTTCTGTCCCGATCAGCGTGTCAGGAGCTGTCAGGGAACTGACAGAAAGCACAGCTACTGCAGCTGTGCTCTCTGTCAGCGATTGTCGCCGATCCCCGGGACATAGCCGGTAATGACCGGCTGTGACCCGGCGACTGACATCTGCGGCTGTGATCGGCGGGACAGGTAGGGTGGGCGCGCACCCCCAACCTGTTTTAAAAACACACGTTTTAAAACGTGCTTTTGCCCAGCCGTGCAGCCCTGCCGCCGTATTTCTACAGTGGCTGGGCGGCATGTGGTTAAAAACTCTCTAATGCAGGCTATAGACGGTTTGTTTATTGGCCGAATTTTGGTCCGAAAAACGAGACATCATT